GGAATCATCATTTACAACAAGGTCAGTTGGACCAGTCACACAATTAGCTATGAATCAAGTAAACCTGTTGGACAATAACCTGGTGTTGTGTGATTTCTGACCTTGTCCACCCCAGTCCAACACCAGCAACCTCCACATCATGACAACTAGCTATGAGAACAGGTCCAAAATTGGAGAATCTGTTGCTGAGTGGATGCCCTTCTGACTCCTCAAAGCCTGTCCATCATTTACAAAGCACAAGTCAGGAGTGTGATGAAATGTTCCCCACTTGCCTGGATGGGTGCAGCTCCAACAACACTCTTAAGTTTGCCACCATCCAGGATAAATTGGCCCACATAAATAGTGCCCCATCACCATTCAGTTCCTTCACACTGTCACATAATTACAATGTATGTTAGCTACAAGATACAATGCAGTAGGTGGCGCCTGCTGCCCATGTCCTTCTAGATGGTAATGGTCACAGGTTTGGAAGATGCTGTCGAGAGGAACATTTCTGCAGTGCATCTTATAGATGGTACATGCTGCTGCTCCTGTGCATTGGTAATGGACGGTGGGAATGGTGGGAGCGGGAGTGAATGTTGAAGGATGAAGTGCCAATTAAGTGGGATGCCTTAATACTTTGCATGCTCGATGATATCAAGCTTAAGTGTTGTTGGAGCTGCGCTCAGCCAGGCAAGTGTGGAGTATTCCATCAAACCCCTGTCTTGGAAGTGGAAGACAGGTTTTGGGAAGTCAGGTAGTGAATTACATTTGCAGGATTCCTGGCCTCTGCCTGCACTGATATGGCTGGTCCAGTTCAATTTCTGATCAGTGGGAAGCCCCCAGGATGTTGACAGTGGGGAATTCAGTGATGGCAATGTCATTAATTGTCGTAGGGTGATGTTTAGATTATCTCTTGTTGAGTATGTAATTTCCTGTCACTTGTGTGCTTGGAATGTTCCTTCCTGTTCAGCCCAAACCTGGATATTGTCCATGCTGCAGTATCTGTGAATGATGGAATTGTGAATGGTGCTGAACATTGTCACTTCAGTGAACAGAAACATCAATGAACATAGCCACTTCTGACTTTATGATAGAGGGAAAGTAATTGTTGATGCAGCTGAAGATGGTTGGGCTTGAATTCTCCATACCTGAGGTAGAGTGCATTTTGAAAGTGTAGTCTCTGGTCTGTTATGAACATTATTTGTTGCCATATGCTCTCTGTATGTGATAGTTGTAGATGACATGCTGCAGGGGTGGATCTTCATTTTCAGTTGCTTTATAAGGGAGTGCATGCTGGTATCTTTTGGCTGGAAAGTTTAGACAAAATGGATTTGATTACTTTATCTTTGAATTGTTTTTCATTTGTTTGAAATTGTTAACATTGTGAAAAGCATATCTTTTTATTTGTGTGCATTTTTGATTGTGGACTGAAATTGGAAACGAAAAGTTTTAAAAACCAAGAGTTATCGAGGGATTGCTGCACCTTTTAAAATAATGTAATCTGACTCATTGTAAGTGCTGTTTATACAGCTGCTTGTTCAAGCAGGAGTGAAAAGTTTGTGGATGAGCTGGAACAAGGGCCGTAGTCAAATGGAGATTCAGTTTGTGGATCTGTGAGCAGTTATTGATGTCAAAGTCTCTCTGCCTACCAACAACTCCATGATTGATTCTCTGGTAGCTGAACAGCTTGTGACTGTGAACAAGATAGAAGCCATCAGATCTTGACCAGCTGGGGAGCTGTCTTTGTGTTCTTCAGTAAGAACTGCTTGAAACGTAAAGAAAACCTCTTCATTTTCCCTTCAACATTTGTTGTAAGCTATAACTTTTAAATAATAATAGAGACATTTTATAAATGTGAATCAGAGAAACATAGAAAATAGAAGCCAGAGTAGGCCCTTGTGCCTTTAGAGCCTGCTCCACCATTCAATATGATCATGGTAGATCTGAGTCATTCATTTAAATTGTGTATAACTGGGGTCCAAGCACTGATCCAAGCAGCACATGACAAAAACAAGCATTGTCTCAACATCTGTGCACTGCTGATATTCAATAATAATTTTTGGTTAATCAGTTAGTGCAACAAAAATGTGGTTGCTTTAGGTTTGAACCCATGTGGTTTATTCAGCTCAGGTTAGCTGAACAACATGGAAGGAAAGCATTTACGATTAGAATAAAAGCAACAAAATTCAACCACTCAGAAAGGAACTCTGCTCCTTGTATCTGAATAAACTGAAGAAAGAATTCCTCAGAGATGAATGCGTTCACCCTCAATGACTGTGATAGTATATGGGATTGAACTGTGCAGTTCTGTGAATGAGGTTTTGTCCCTTCTAGATTCCAATACTAATTCGGGGCAGTGGGACGGGATAGGGTGCATTGGAAAGGGTTGGGGAGGGGGGAGGTGGGAGGTATGTTGGGCGTGGGAGAGACAGTGAAGATAACGCACCGTATGTGCAACTGTACATTGCTGACCTCTAGCTGGATGATAAGAGATAGGAGAGGGTTTGACAATACAGCTCCTCAAGGTGAGAGGAGAGAGATTTAAAAAGACATGAGGGGCAAATTTTTTACACAGAGGGCAGTTTGCGTGTGGAAGGAACTTCCTGAGGAAATGATGAATGTGGATACAATTACGACATTTAAAAACCATTTTGGTAAGTATGTGAATAGGAAAGGTTTGGAGGGATCTGGGCCAGGAGCAGGTTGATGGGACTAGTTTAGTTTGGGATGATGTTCGGCCTGGACTGGTTGGACTGAAGGGTCTGTTTCCATGCTGTATGATTCTGTGACTGTATGACCTGTCCGATCCTCCACCTCAACACCACTTTCAGTTGTATTTTCTCCCAATTCATTGTGCCCCAAATTTTATCAATCCCAACCTGGAATATACTCAGCAACTGAGCAGACACAGGGATAGCGAATTCCTAAGATTCCCAACATAGTGAGTAACGAAGTTTCTCCTCATCTCCGTCCTAAATGGCCAACTCTGTGTTATATATTCTCCAGCTGTGACCATGTGTTCTACCTTCTCCAGTTAGGGGGAAGCAGCCAGTCTGTGTAGACACTGTCAACGTCCTTCAAAAATTTTTCCCTTTCAATGAGATCACCACCCATTCTTCCAAACTTCAGAGAAACCATGTCTGTTCCACTTGACCCCTTCACAAAGCTGAGGGGTGCTCAGGACCCTGGTATGGATTGGGGGAAAGGAATCACATTTTCATGACTGCCCTTCAAACACTTTGTAAACATGTGAGATGCATTAAGAAGGAAGCACAGTGACAGCAGGTTGGCTGTGTGGCGACACTGAGAGCATGCCATAGGGAAACAACAGGCTGTTAGAATGAGCCCAGTGACTGAGGCAAAGCTGCAAGCCTCGGAATGGAGGGCACTTATACTCCCAGAATAGCTATGCCTTCCTCTTCATGCAGTCATTTAGAAAGGAGATTACCTGATGTGGGGTGTGATGTCACTTAATAAGCAATTTCATCAATCAAACATTGCAGGTAATAATTAAATTATTGGATAACACAGCACATGCTGAGACCATTCAACATCATGTCTATATTGCCTCTCTGAATGTGCTGTCCAATTTGTTCCACTGCCATACTCTTTGCTGATGTTCCAAATTCAAGCCTTGCCCCAATTCTCTTTTGGAAGTTATTACTGAATCTGTTTCCACTGCCATTAGATTAGATTTTATTTTCACGTGTACCCGAATACAAGAAAACAGGACTACAGTGAAAATTATACAGAGATTTTTGGCTCTTGGTCAGATAGCATATTCAGTTTAAGCTTCTCACCCTTTTTTCCAAATCTTCCATGGCTCCCTCATCTGTATCTCTGTGATATCAAGTACTACAACCTGATTCCATTTTAATTGCTTCACCATTGGTGACCATGCCTTCGGTTGCTTCTCTGCTTCATTATTTCACTTTGCTCCTGTAAGACTCTCCTTAAAATCGATCTCCTTGGTCAAGCTTTTAGTTAACTACCATAATAGCTCCTTGTGGCTCAGTTTGAAATTTTGTTTGATCACATTTGCAGTTATGCAGTTTGAGACATTTTACCTTGTGAAAGGGGACTTGTAAATAGAGATAGTTAATACCAACTTGGTGAACTGTCGCTGTCTCGTTTATTGCCGGTATTGTTAACTGTTCTAAATCCCACACTTAGCTCTGTTTTTTTTAAAATCCTTCATGCAATGGTACTTCAACAATTTGAAATAAAGCAATAGATTTCTAGAAGCTGAAGGGTTTTTGTTTGGAGAGTGTGGGAGTGTGGCGTTGAGGCAGGACATTGGTATAATCATGTTGAACGGTGGAGTGGGCACAGTGGGCCAAATGGCCTACCTTTGTTATTTTCTATGTTTCAGGTGGAGAAAAAGAGTTGAGAGGTTCCAGGACGCTGTTATACTGCTTGATCCATCTTTAAATCTTACATTATAAGGATACAACTGATGCCATTGCATTGGGTCCCTTATTTTTGGGATCCTGTGGTAGATATTCTGAGATAGAAAAGTGTAGATGAACTGCATCAATTAACTCAACAGTTGAGATAGAGAAGGTAAAGGAGAAAAGAAAATGTTAGTAACAGAGAGATCACCACAAAATTTGTATTGCACTCAGTTGAGAGTCAATTATATTGCTGAGAACGTAGCGTCACATGTAACTCGACCAGGTAAGGATGACGTATCTCCTTACCAAAAGAGAATTAAATAAGCCAGATGGATTTTTACAACAGTCTGTGAATCACCTTTACTGAAACAAGCTTTCAATTTGAGGTTCATGAATTGAATTTAAATCCGACTATGAAGGAATTTGAACTTGTGTTCCCAAAGCATCTGTCTGGGCTTTTGGAATTCCTGTGATTTATGACACAGTTTTGCTTTCCATCATAGTTAAAGGCACATTTCAATTTCCTGTTTCACAACAAAGGATGTGTAGATGAACCATTGGAAAACCTTTCTTTATTTCATGTACTGATTTTTTTGGGACCTTTTATCTTTTGATACAAAATAGGATGTAAAGGCTCAAAGCCATTACAGTCATGGCTACAGTGATTCACTGGCACGGAAGGGCCATATCGATGACTACAGCACCTGGGACATTGTCAAAGCCACACAGTAAGTACAAAATGATTTTATTACTTTTTTTGGGCTTGATGCTATATTTTGTCTCTGATTAACGATGACAATGAAAGAAAATAATTTTGAAAGTTACAGCAGACAGAACCGCTATCGGATTAGAGCAAAACAAAGAACAATACAACACGGGAATAGGCCCCTCGGCCTTCCAAGCCTGCGCTGACACATCTTGCCCTTTCATACTAAAATGGTCTTCATTTACAGGATCTATCTCCCTCTATTCCCTTCCTATTCAGGTATTCATCCAGGTGCTTGTTAAATGCTGCTATTGTGTCTGCTTCCACCACCTCCTCTGGCAGCATGTTCAAGGTACTCACCACCCTTAGTGTGAAAAATGTGCCTCGCACATCTCTTTTAAACATCTCCCCTCCCTGCGGCTCAGCCTGTGTCCCCTAGTAATTGACCCCTCCACCCTGGGAAAAAGCCTCATACTTGTGACTCTATCCATGCATTCACAATCTTACCAACCTCTATCATCGACCTGATAGAAACCCTTATCTTCATAGCTAAAATCCCTGAAACCAGGCAACATCCTGGTAAACCTTTTCTGCCCTCTCCAAAGCATCCACATCCTTCTGGTAGTGTGGTGACCAGGACTGTATGCAATATTCCAAGTGTGGCCTAACTAAAGTTCTATAAAGCTGCAGCATAACTTGTCTATCCTTATACTCAATGCTCCTTCCAATGAAGGCAAGCATGCCATAAGCCCTTTTTACAACCTTATCTACCTGCGCTGCCACCTTCAGTGATCTGTGGACCTGCACACCCAGATCTCTCTGCAGATCAATACTCCTAAGGGTTCTTCCATTCACTGTATAATTTCCAACTGTACTTGACCTTTCAAAATGGATCACCTCACATTTTGCCAGATTAAACTCCACCTGACATTCTTCTGCCCATGCCTCCAACTGATCTGTATCCTGCTGTATCCTCTGACAATCCTCGTCACTATCCACAATATCACCAAACTTTGTATTGTCCGCAAACTTACTAATTAAACCAGCTATGGTTTCCTCCAAAGCATTTATGTAGACCATGAATAGCAGCGGTCCCAGCACTGATCCCTGTGGAACATCGCTAGTCACTACCCTCCATTCCGAAAAGCATCCTTCCATCGCTATCGTCTGTCTCCAATGACTAAGCCAGTTCTGTATCCATCTTGTCAGCTCACTCCTGATAAGGTGTGACTTCACCTTTTGCACCAGTCTGCCATGAGGGACCTTGTCAAAGGCTTTACTGAAGTCCATATGGATAACATCAACTACTTGTCCCTCATCAATCATCTTTGTCACCTCCTCAAAAAACTTGATCAAGTTAATGAGACATGACATGCCCCACACAAAACCATGCTGTCTATTGCGTATAAGTCCATTTGCTTCTAAATGATAGATCTTGTCCCTGACAATCTTTTCCAATAATTTCCCTACCACCATATCTGACTCCCTTGTTAAGAATCTATTTAGCTCTATCTTAAAAATGTTCAAAGAAACTGCCTCCGTGCTGAACGGGGCAGAGAGTTTCAAAGAAACTCAACTAATCTCAGTCCTAAGTGTGAGCTTCCTGTGGAACCAGAAACTTAGTTTGAGTTTGAATAAAATTTGAGGTAACGAACAAGGAGCTGGATGAAATTTGGAACCAGGGTACAGTGGTCTTAGTGGTTGAAGATGGTTACTTTGCTACTTCCCAGTATTTAATAGGAGGAAATTGTGACTCCTCCAAGACTGGATGTTGGACAAACAGTTTGACAACTTCGACAATAGATAAGATGGGAATGTGATGCTTAAGATACAGTTGGACACCACCAACTTCAATGTATGATCTGATCCCTCTCTATATGCCTTCACTACTTCATCCAATGTATGTGAGGAGTCAGTAGTGAATATTGAGCAGAGAAGTCTGGAGTTGGTGGGGTTGGTGGAAAGAGAAACCTTTGCCAGCATGCTCTGGCTAAACTTGAACAAACATATTGGACCAAAGTCTGAATAGTCTCATTGAGCCGGAACATGGAGAAGGCAAGTTGGCTGTGAATAGCACAGTCAGCCGTATTCCTGTATTCAGCTTTCATGCTGCTTTGAATTGCAAGTTTGTTTGAATAAACACAATCCCTTGACTGATGTGTTTGACTAAATTCTCGTGGGAAAGGCGAAACTAAGGCTAGGAAAATCTGAGCAACCAAAACAAGAAGCCCAGTGGCATTCAAATAAGAGAGCTGTGAAGCAATTAAACTGTACACCTTGATGTGTTTTATTGTGTTAGAAACACTATAATTTACATGTTGTTGTTATCAAGAGTGTGGTGCCTGAAAGGCTGTGGAAGCTGATTCTTTTGAAGAGGCATCAGATAAGTACTTCAAGGGGAAAAGTTTGCAGGGTTTTGGGCAAATAGCAGGAGAGTGGGACAAATTGGACAACTCTCTTCTTTTATGTTTGGAATATAAACTGGGAAAATGGAAAATTGGACCTGTATTGCAAACACGTTATAGTTTTTAATTAAGAGATAACAAGGTGTAGAGCTGGATGAACACAGCAGGCCAGGCAGCATCGGAGGAGCAGGAAAGCTGACATTTTGGGTCTGGACCCTTCTTCAGAAACTTGTTATCTCAGATTCTCCAGCGTCGGCAGTTCCTACTATCTCTTAGTTTTTAATTCATGCCTCAAAGTTCAAAACGTTGAACTGTATTGAGTTCACTGACTGGTTAAACAATGTTATCTACCTTTTAGAGAAGGCTGATTTGATAATGTTGAGAGGCAAGCTGACATCAGGTGCCTATTGTGTTGAAAAGCTGCCTCGTAACAACCTTTGGATTTTTAAGTTGGTATTTGTTGCAGACCTTCCGGTCCAAGATGGCGGTGGAGTATGGCTCCTGTGCCGAGGCTCGTCCACTCCAACCGCTTTTCTTTTTTCATTTCTTTTTTTTTCACTTACTTGCTTTGTTCAGAGCTTGGACGACATTGGCAGCAGTGAGAGCCCAGCGCATGGACTTCGAGCAGGCCTACCACGGACCTCAAGCATCTTGAGCCAGGCTCAGGGCATGGACCTTGAGCGGACCCAGTGAAGAGGACAGTGAACCCCTACTTACTTTTCTGGAGCAAGCACGGGACCTAGAATCGTCAGCTGCTGCATCAGAGGTATGCCCAGCAGTATAGGCCTAATGGCAAAAGCTGGTGCCTGAGGATTGGCGACTTTATTGTTGGTTGGGTCCGACACTGGGGGCAGCAAAGCAGTAGCACAAAGGCACCATGGCAACATTGATGAGGTGGGTCCAGCAGCAAGAGATGCGACTCTGATGTTGGTTGTTCCAACCCAGGCGGCAGCGCGGCCATGGGGGAAGAGGATCAGCCCAACAGCAAAGATGGAGCCTGAGAATCAGCGATCCCAAAGTAGGTTGGGTCCAGTGTAGATGTATGCGGACGGATTGGCGGTGCACGTGTCATTGACGGTGATGAGCTGGCTCAGGACTGATGGATTCATTTCAAGCTATATCTTTTTGTTTTGTCCAATTCTTAAATTATGCAAAATGGTGCTGTTTTGTGGCAACAAATGAAAGCTTTTCACTGTAGTTTATTGTATTACTGTAAAATACACTTGACAATAAAATCAAAATAAATGAAAGACCTGAGAAAGGGCAGTTGAGCTTCAACCCCTAGAAAGGCTGCAGCAGAAACAGGTCTCTCTCTCTCCTTCTCTACATCTGTGAATGATTTAAAAAAAAAAACCTCAAAGATTCTCAAAATAAGCTCTAACTCCAGAAAAGACCTGGTTCCAGCTGACCAGCTACTGAATTGAGGATCTTCTTTCACTCTGCAATTGACAGTAATGTGATGTCCTCAGCAAAAACCAAAGATCTCTGAGAAAGGCACCTCATTGCACCCTTCTGGCTTGGACTCTCGATCTACAGAATTTGATCCTTTTTGCTTATCATTTCTTGCAGAGGTCTCTGTCTAGTCTGCACTTCGTGTGAATGAATGTGTGCATGTTTGGCTTTCAAGGGGACGTAGTTTAAGTTTACATAGTACCGGTTAAAACATTTAACAGAAGAAATAGGAACAGGGAGAGACATGCATTCCTTCAAGATCCAGAAATCGTCTGTCTAGATTGATTAGTTGCACTCTGCTGTTCAAGAAGGGCAAAACAGGAAAACGAGGGAATTACAGGCTAGTTAGCCTAACATCTGTGGGGGGTGGGGAAAGGATTGTTGGAGTCTATAATCAAGGATGAAATGATTGAACACCTGACAAATTTTCACATAATTAGGGAGACAGCATGGATTCATGACAGGCAGGTTCTGCCAGACAAACCTAATTGAAATTTTGAAGAGGTGGCTAATGTGGTGGACAGGAAATATCTATGGATATTGTTTGTACAGACTTCCAGAAGACACTTGATAAAGTCCACGTAAGACACTGTTAACGTAGAAGCCCACAGGACTGGAGCAAATTGCAGATATTGCTGGAAAATTGGTTGTGTTGGAGGGTGGGGTTAATGAGTAAGTACTCAAATTGACAATAAATGACCAGTGGTGTCTCGCAAGGATCTGTTTGAGCCTCAATTATATGTATTATCAACGACTTGGATAATGGCATAGAATGTCTTTTATCCAAATTTGCTGATGACACAAGGTTAGGCAGTATTGTAGACAGTTGCAAAACCTATAAAGGGATATTAATAGATGAAGCAAATGGGCAGATGAAGCTCAGTATAAACAAGTGTGAGGTTATGCATTAAGGACTGAAAAAAGGATAGATCAGGGTACTTTGTAGAATATTAAGTTAAATAGAGTGGATGTCCAAAGAGTCTTGGTGGTTCAGGTGCACAGAGCTTTTAAAAAGTCACAAACAGGTGCAGAAAATAACAGAACATGGAACAGTACAGCAGAGGAACAGACCCTTCAGTCTGACCGTGTCTGTGCTAAACTGATCCTATTTGACTGTACATAATCTGTATCCCTCTATTCCCTGCCTGTTAATGTGTCTGTCTAA